GGAAAGCCGCAACCGCCCCCCCCCCCCCCCCACCCCCCCAAAAAAAAAACCAAACAAACAAAAAACCCATAGACTTGCATGCGGGTAGGTGGGCAGCTGCCTAGCAGTATTTTCCAGATCTCTTTATCAGGAAAAATGGAGTCAATGACTAAAGGTTTGCCAAGGAAACTAATAGAGGCTTCCAAGGCTACCAGCAGAGTTAAAAGGAGTCAGCATAGGCACCTGTCTTCAGCCAGTAACGGGAGGAGGCCAACTATCAATAAGACAGCATGTCTGCAGTGCAGCCCCAGAAAGAGGGTAGAACATACCTGAGCAAGCGTTCAATAGGCTAGTTCCAGGATTAGGAGCAGTCTAAGCCATGGCGGCATGGAACTCCATGTAGGCCAGTTTGCCCAGATACACAGGTAGGTTTTTCAACTTCTGGGCAGTAAGATACTGTGATTAGACTACTCCCAGTACATGAGCTAGCTAATTTAAATCTAGTTGGGGCATCTTGAGCTTAGACTGCATTCACAGCTTGGAGTGCAGTGCAGAGAGACCCTAGTACATAGTTAAAAAATCTGACTCCAGGGAGGTGAGGGAACTTGAAGTTTGCAGATGGTACTGTACCTTGGAGATTAGAGATGTTGTTCCATGTTTGGAAAAACTACCCAAATTACATGATGATTTCCTGCTCCACATCCTAAGAGTAGATGCTTGGAGAATGGTATACTGCTCTCCCGGAGTGGGTCCAGAATTGCACTGCTAGCTTTTACAAGGCTCATGGTACATTGGCTCAATTAGAACTCTTCTAGCATCTTTTTTAGTGAAGCAGGCTGAGATTCAGCGAGAGCAGCTACTGCATTCCTCCTCTCCAGAGTCCTGCCAGCTGCCATAGGGGCAGTCAGTTTCAGTCTGCATCTGATCTACATGCTGTGAAGTAGATGAAAAAATCCTGGCAGCAGGAAACACTTAACTCAGTCTGAGACTATGATGACTGCTGGTTCTAACCTCTGATTCAGAAGCCACCTAGATAACACAGTGGGTCTGTGAGGAAGGTGTGTAGGGAGAGACTACACTTAGTAATCATTTCCTATTAAACTACTGCTAAGGTAGGCCATGGCTATACACTATTATCCCTTACTCTCTTAACAAGTTCTGAAATCCAATCAAGTCCATCAGTCTGGTAAAATAAATCCTTTGTCCTGCTGGGAGCAATGGTGTGTGCTAGCTGGTAATTATCATAGCATGACAAAGGTATTATCCACTTCCCATCCAGCTCTTTGGGGCCAAAAGACACCTGGGACAACCCCATAAAAAGGGCTGATAATAGGAGTGAGATTCAGTACTAAGTCCACAACATTGCTGTCAGTTTAGATACTAGAGTCCCTCAGCCTTATAAGGAACTGATTCTTGTGTATACTAAGTCCCTAGAGCACCATTTCGAAAGTGTGAAGGAGCCCTGATGGGCTTAAATATAATTCATCCCTCTTGAAGGCTCCATTATGCTGCTAGAAGGGTGTTAAAGGAGCCTTAGCTGTAGTCTCAGTGACTAACACCACCCCAGACAAATATGGGATCAGACTGCAGAAATGCAAAACCTGAAGTGGTGACCTCTACATTATTGTTCCAGTTCATTTTACTGTGGGATGCTGTAAGGTGAATTCACATTCTGTATCTGGCTCCCCATAACCCTAACCTTCCCTCAGCTCCTTTTGAACTGAGGAAAATTGGGGCAGCTCAAGGCCAGTTATATCTCAGTTGCACAAGGAAAGTTGGGGACATAGCCAGGGCCAAATCTGGGTTGGTGATTACTTTCTTAGCCACCAACATTGCATGAAGCAGCATGAAAAAGAGTGCAGTCCCTGCCAGTTGATGCTTTGTGATTCTCAAAATGAGATCAACAAAACCAGTAACTAGTGGTAGTGCACATCTGCTCATGTTTTTGCATGCAACAGCCCATGTTTATGTGGCCATGGGTGTGTTTGTCCAAGAACTTAATTGCAGATACTTCTGTGTTAGCCTGCATAGGTCTGAAATTGTGGTGGTCCTATTTTTGTGTGTATTGTCCCACACATGCTAGTTAACACTGGCTCATGTGGTTAAGTGTTCGTGTATCTGCTTGTGAAGCTTCTTGGTGCCTGTAGGCACATGTCCCTGTACTTGTGTATATAGGTGAACTTATGTTCCCCATGTCTGAGTGCAGGGGTCTGCTCAGAGGAGGCTGTATCTGCATGTCTTTGAGACCATCCAGGAGGCCCAATTTCCCATTGCCTTGCCTCTTGTGCAGATTCTTATGCCATCGTGAAGCAGCTGTGAAATGCTACCAAGTCAGAGGGGTAGCATTGTACACCCCATCCATGCATCCCATATCCAGGTAAAATTGACTGCTCACCATGCAGGGCAGCGGGGAATTGAGCCCAATGTGTTGTTCTCCTTTGTGGGCTGTACTGACTCAGGTGCATGCTCTGTGTATCATCATACATCTCTTTATGCCTAACAGGAAACAGATGAACCAAATCCCTTTGTTTGCCTTTCCCAGGAGAGAAAGAAGGAGGCGGCACCACATGTCAGTGTGGGAGCAGCGTACCAGTCAGCTCCGCAGGCACATGCAGATGTCCAGCCAGGAGGGAATCAATAAGGATGAACCTCCACTGCTCAACCCTCATGCCAGCATATTCAGGAGAAAAAAGCCAGGTGAAAATGTAGCCTCAGATAAGCCTGAGGAGGAACAGGGAGGCAAGGCAGAGCAGCCACAAGTGGAAGGCCTGGAACAGCCAACCACTGGCACCAACGTCAGTGCCAGTGAGGACAAGAGGAGCCCATCCCCTCGAGCCAAGAGAGAAAGGGACCAGTGGCATCAGAAATCGTGTCATGGGAACTGTGATCCAACTGAACAAGATGGCAGTGGAGGAGGAGGTTCAGGGATTGAAGACAGAGCCCGGCTAAGACAGAGCCAGCGGCGCAGCCGGCACCGGAGGGTGCGGACTGAGGGGAAGGAGCCAGCTGGAGCTCTGGAGAGCCGGTCGACCAGCCAAGATGCAGGCCTGGAGGATGCCAATCCTGCAGAGGGACAGCAGAAGAGGAATGAAGGAGAAAAGGAGGAGAATTTGATTCAGGGGGAGCAGGCAGGCGAGGAACTGAAAAGGTAAAGGCATTAGGTTGTTCACAGCTCTTATTTGAGACTCTTCTTCATGTAGAAAGAACCTTTCACCCGGAGCAGGAGGGTGTGAGATGGAAGTTGTATATAATGGGGAAATGTAGGAGGAATAATTTCTCCCTGGGGACATAGCTGCCTCTCCAGGCACGAGTCCTTTCCTGCTTACTGTTATTCACCCTCTTGCAGCTTGTTCCACTCTTGCTGCCATAGTGTATTCCCCTCCAGTCTGTTCATAAGAGCCTTTCTGCCCCTGCTCCTTGTCACTACCCTCCCTGGTCAGAACATACTGCTCAGAGCAATACTACAGGCTCTACCTCAGGAACTGCCCACAGTGATGCAGTAGCATTTCTCTCTGCTGTAGGGTAGGATGCTGTTTGTTGGCTTCTGAACAAGGGACTGAGATGGTCTTTACTACTTCTTTCTACGGGTCTATGAAACCTCCCTGTCTCCTTCCATGGTAATAAAGCTCTGACAGGCATGTGTGTATTTTCTGGCTTAAAAGGGATATTTTCAGATCATGCTCAGACAAATTCAAGTGGGGTTGCCTGTCCCATTTCACCTCCCAGTGAGTCTGACCTGAACCTGATGTTTGTGTTAAGCTGCTGCACTAGCACTAATTAAGTCTTTCAGGTTTCTCACTTGTGCTCTACTTGCCTCCCCTGTAGTATATCTTCCTCCCCACCTGGAAATCCCACAGGGAGATCATTTCTTTCAGGGTTATTCCCAGGCTAAGCTAGCCATCCTCAGGAGCAGAGTTTTTGTCAAGATGGGAAGATCCCTCTACCAAACCCCAGCACTTGGTTGCAATTCCAGCTGTTCTGCTCTTCTCAAGTTGGCATGGGATATCAGGACTATATCCTTGCCATACAGGAGAGGTCAGCCATAGGACAGTAAAGCACTTGGAGATCAGGCGAAAAGCACTATAGCTTTCAAGATACTTGAAACCAGTTGCTTAAGATAAAGAGACTGTTTTTTTTGGAGATAGATGTGTGTAGCTTTCTCTGTTTCTAGCCAGTGTCTTCACAAGACTTCAAGAATGACCATTCCAAAAGAACACATGGCTTTGTCTCTCTCTCTCTCTCTCTCTCTCTCTCTCTCTGTGCCCCTTTTCCCCTTTATCTTTACCCTCCAACCTTCATTTTCCCCCTCTTCTTTTCTTCTCCCCCCCACCTTTTCTCTCACTTCTCTTTCCTGTCCCATTCTGTGGTACTCCTCTTACCCTTTCTCTGCTTCTCTTTGCCCCTCCTTTTCTCTGTTCTGCCTGTAGAACCAATGGAGTCCCAGCCAGCGAGGCTGAGGTCCCTGGGGCCACCGAAGACAGGAGTCCACCTAAAGTCCCTCATGAGCTCAACCAGGGGAATAATGTAAGCCTGGCTGAGCAGGACTGCAGCGGTGTAGATACCAGTGACCAAGCCCTGCTGGGCGGCCTCCAGATGGAGATGAGCAGAGCCATCAGCAGGAGTGAACCAGACCTCTCCTCCATCACAGCCAACACTGAGAAAGCCACTGAGAGCACCACCATCATGATCGATGTCCAAGAGTCCACTGTGGTACAGAGTGAGGACCCATCTCTTTATGTTCCTTGCCTGTTTCTTTCCTTCCTTCCTGACCCTTGATAATTCTAGGCATCCTGTGAAATCCCCAGAGGGTCACCTTGGCATTCATGTGTTCCCCACACCACAAGGTCTAGTGAAAAAGCATTCTAAGATCATCTCTTCTGTACACCTTCATGTTGCTTTGCTGAGACTTTGAACTACAAACCAGTTGCTTCCACACATGGTGGGTGGCACTGGGAGTACTAATGTGAATCCACAAGGGTGTTTTGTTTCTGTGTCTTTATGCATGATGGTTGTCTGTTGCAACCCAGGATCATATTGCTTACAGCTCTGCTTCTTCCTGCACACATATTTTGGTTTTGAATTGGACTTTGCACTGCAGACTGCCACTGATGCCCCTCTCCCCCTCCCGCCTCCCCCTTATCCCTCCCCAGTGCAGCTGCACTAACGTCCAAGTGCATGCTGCCAAAGTGTTTTAGGCTGGGATTTGGTTCAGGGTTGTTTCAAAATGAGGAAAATCACACTTGAGTAAAACCTGGCTTAGAGCAACTTTTCCTGCCTACTCGAAAGGTTTGCATTTGTATAGTCACACCTATAAGGGAGATGCTCAGTGTGTTCAAGGCCTTCTTCCCAATAGCAGTGAAAATGCACGAGGATTCCCTAAGCCCATCACCCAACCAAGGGAACTCTGAGTGGCAGCTGTGCTAGAAATAAACCCATGACTGTGCCACCCTGCAGAGAGAATTTGAGGTATAATGCCCTTGAGCATAGCAAAGTGCTGCCACTTTTTTGGCCAGATATCTCAGGTTTATCCCCCAGCCTGCACTGTATAGGTATGTCACACATGCATGGCTGTCTGCTCTCTTGTTTAGTTACACAGTAGCTTCACCTTGTATTTTTCTCTCTTTCAGTTATTCCTTCCAGCCATCTCTTCCATTTCCCCCTAGCTGCCTTACTCACGTGTCTTCTTCTTTCCCCTTCTGTTTCCATCTCCCTGCATCCATCTGCTCTCCCATTTATCATCTCTTTTCCTTCTCTTCCTTCTCTCCCCCTCCCCTCCCCAACCTTCCATCTCCTTGATTCCTGCCAAGGCCTGCACAAAACACTAGAATAAACTTTTTCTAAAGCAACATGATTCCCTGTCAGTCAAACCTTAAAGACAGTGGGAACATTTCTTCTCATCTTGAAGATGAAAGTTTTTAAATTGTGGCATTAATTAAACAGCACCACAAAAATGTTGCCTCATTAAAGTCCCTTTTGTCTGTCTCTTCCTGTCAGTTTGTGTCTTTCCTTTTGTACTTCTTTTTCCTAACAGCAGAACTTGGTGGTGGGAATGTAGCACAGCAGTCTTGTAGTTTGTATTCTCTCTCCACATAGAAATGACATCCTTAGGCTGCTAAGTAATGTGCATAATTCATTTTTGTTGCATTTGCATTGCAGCAGCCTTAACAATGGCTGAGGAGTGCAAGGCTTCAGCAACTGCTCCAGACTGCAGTATTCTCATGCAAAGGAGCTAATTTTGGGAGAGATTCAAGGCAGAGAAGCCATCGATGATTGCCTGTTCTCCATGGATACTCACCACTTAGCTCTGCAGACTAACCAATGCAATTCCACCACCCTCTAGTCTCCTTGACAAGTGTCTCCTGTAGCAGTGTTAGCTTGCCTGGTCAGTAAGAGTTGGTTTCTTTTTCAGTTAGCAACAAGACAGATGGAGAAGCCAGCCCCTTGAAGGAGGCAGAGACAAAAGAGGATGAAGAAGAGGCAGAAAAGAAGAAACGGAAAAAGGAGAAAAGCTCAGAGACGGGCAAAGCAATGGTGCCTCACAGCTCCATGTTCATCTTCAGCACGACTAACCCGTGAGACACTCTTTGGTCTTTGTACTATAGTAGCCATGCCATTGAGTTGGAAAGGGTAAGGTAGGGCTGCACCTTGTAAGGCTTTTACATCTCAAGCAATAGTCCTGTTAGATCCCATGGAACAAGCAGAGCTGAGGTGGGCCCATATTTGGCTGGGAGGCTACCAGGAGTAGCTGGGGCTCCTTCACTTCTGCAGGAGCTGGTGTTGGATCTGAATGCAGTGCCCTTCCAGGGCCCCAGAATGGTATGAGGGAGCACTGCTGTCTTCTTAGGTAAGAAGTAAATCTGCGGGCCACCACTTGCACCCATGACATCTCCCACAAGCAAGTCTGCTAACCCTGGCACCCTCCCCAAATTTTAGGAAGGGTAAATCCATTCTAGCTATATGAGGCAGGAAACATTATGGCTGGGAATGTGTTAGATTTAGACAAACCATCAAAAGCCTGCACATGTGAGTTTACAGAGCCTGTTGCCCCACCTGACATCAGACTTGCGTTCTGCAGCACAATCCCCCTGACAACTAGCAAAGGTGACCTGGGGACCTCTGGGAACTAGAACTGCTTGCCAGAATATTTCATAGACTTCAGCTTCATTGGAAATGATTAAGCCCCAAACTGTAACTAGGTGCCCAGGGCAGGTGACTGATTTGTTTTGTTCCAGGGGAACGCAACTCTGAGGGACCTTGTAGATCCACGTGGGTCTTTGTGGGCTGCATGGCTTCTAGGGGCTGTGGGAGGCAGAAGCACTATATGTTAAGAGGAGTAGGGGGAATTCATTCGTCATATATCCAAGCAGCAGGCAGTGGGAGAGACCCTTCCTGTCCTACTCCGACCCCCAGGCTAGTGCTTCCTCCCACTTCTTTTTGTGTGTGCACCATGAGGAGTTGCTCAAGTACAAAGCCCCTGAGTATATCTGCACCTCTCTCTTCTTTTGTCTCACTTTCTCCCCCTACTCCCTCCATACTATGCCTTCCCATCCTCCATATCATTGTTACTTTCTCCTTGCATGACCCTCCTCTTCTTCCTCTTCCCACTGCCACCTCCTCTTAACTTCTACTGTGAGTGCAGGATGGGGAGAAGGAAAGTAGTAAGGACTGTTGGGTTTGGGATGTATGGTGCAGGGTGAATGAATGGAAGGAGAAGGATTGCAAGGGAAAGGGAATGGGAATGAGAGACTGCTCAGACTTTAACCTCAAGTACAGGCAGCATATATTCTGACAGAGTTGCTGGGAGGTGGAGAGCAGAGCTGGAGGAAGTGCTTGGAGGCTCCTGGTGGTGTGTTTAATATTGTTAACCCCAAGCACTCTAATGCCACAAGTCAGGATCTCTGGACCTGGGACATTTGGCCAGAACTCCACCAGTATAAACAAGTAGGTTTATGCCTTTGCTTTTGCCTTTTGGTGTTTGAGCCTTAGGGGGCCACATTTTCCAGGTTCTCATCCTCCACCCCTCCCCCACCCCCCATGCAAAAATAAAATTCCTTCTGTATTCATGTGACTCCAGGAGGTGGGTCTATCAGAAATTGTGATTATCCTGAGACTTGCGATAAAGGCACAAAAGCTGACAACATTTGTGTTTATGGGGGTGCCAAGGGAGCTGTGTGCATGGGAAGGAGAGGCTGTGCACTTGGGTAGGGTGGGAAAGGGGTTAAGAGATGAGCAGGTTGGCAGGGAATCCTGAACCAACATCGGGCTCCCGTGTTGGCTAAGAACCTACTTTCTGTACTTGCAGCTGCTTCTTCTGCTCCAGAGGGGCCAATGCTGACTTAAGCTCCCTCCTTCCCTTCCCTTCCCTTCCCTTCCCTTCCCTTCCCACCTTCCAAAGTTCCCTCAGACACCCATCTGATCATAGGACCATAGGAACATGACATGCATGAAGAACCTCATCCTTGGTAGGCCTGGAGTCATGCTCAGGTGAAGTTCAGTTCTGACAGGTATAAAAACTCAGTGTGATAACTCCCTTCCTCCACAGGAACACAGCTCCCACAGTGAACAGAAGTGCTCCATTCATGTGCATGTGCAGTTAGATCTTAAATTAAGTTGTCACTTTGTTATTTTCCCAGCTTCATTAAATGCCCAGGGTGAGCACACAAGGGAAGGATGCATGAGCCATCTGAAATCTGGCACTTCCTGCCTTTTGAGTGCTAGGTGTTTTTAAAGCCTTTTTTCTGTCTGTAATCTTGTCTAAAGTGTGCGTGCACATGTGTGTGTACAAGGTGTGTTCATGTATGCACATACAGTGATTTCTCCCTATCGTTTCTCTCATAGTGTGCGAAGAGCCTGCCATTACATTGTGAACCTGCGCTACTTTGAGATGTGCATCCTCCTGGTGATTGCAGCTAGCAGCATTGCATTGGCAGCTGAAGACCCTGTCCTGACCAACTCTGACAGGAATAAAGTGACTGTGACTTCTCTTGCTGTTTTCCCCCTTTCCCTTGCCCAATGCGCCCCAGTTCCTCAGTTGGATTCCAGAGAAGAGAGAGCAGAGGAGGAAGAGCAGTTGCACTCTCTAACTTTCTTTTAGCTCCTTGGAAGTGTTGTAGCAGACAGCTGATGGGATGCTTTGTCCCAGAATCCTCTCATGCCCCGCTTCATGATACTCTTGACTCAGCTTCATGCTCAGAGCTGTCAACCGGATGCCCAACCAGATGCCCAAATATTAATTCTAACCTTGCTAAATGTGTAGTTATATGTAGTGAGAGGTATTAGAAGACTAGAAATATGTATTGGGACAACAGAATGAACTGTGAGAGAAGCTGTGGCTGAACTAAGAAAGGGAAGAGCAATGTGAGGGAAGGGTATGACAGCACCAAGGGTCAGGCATGTGTCCAGTGGGAGATGATGATGTCTCAGCCAGTGGTTGCCCTAAAGTCCTAAGGGAGGGAATGAAAATGGGTAAGGGAGACTTCAGCCCATGGTCACAGGGACTGGATGAGCTGGTAGTGTTCCAAAGAGATGGAGCAGGATGGCATTGGGTGGGGGTGTTGGATATGGTTCTCCCTTTCCTGTCTCCTGTTACTGAGCTAAATGTGTTTTTGCATTGATTTGTCCAAGACAAAATTGAATCTCAGGCTCAACTGTCCAGTAGGAAAATGTAGCCAAAATGAATTTGTACAAATGTTGTATGTGCACAAAGTCAGTCCCTTATAGATGAGCTATTAAGTTGTTCTGACCTGTATCTAAGCATCATCCAAGATCAGCCAGTTTGATCAGAGGGTGGAAATGCCAGTCACTCTCCTGCCTCATGCCCTGTTTTTCCTTCAAGAAGAGTACAGACATAATCAGCCCTACGTTCTCTCTCCATGTGTGCCTTATAGTAGAATCAGAAGATGGATTTAGCAAACTGAGCAGGCAAATCCTTAGAAGAGGAAAACACTGCACAAAGAAGCTGTATCAGAAATCTGGCTTTAGTTTTAGCTTCAGCTCAGGTAGGCTGGTCAGTCACCAACAAGCGCAGCCCTAGAAAGGAAAAGCTCTACCATAACTAGAGTAATGGGTATACCCTTGCCATGGTAGTTAGAGCTTCTCCTCTGTAAGTTTGTACTCTTTGGTTGTCATTCTGCCTGGTATAGGGGTAGCCAAAGTCCAGGCAATCCTAAACCTGTCTTTCAGGGCTAAGTTACACATATGTAGTGTGCTAGCTTTGTACTATATCTCTATTCATCATGAATTTCACCTACTCTTAGCAGATCAGCAGCTGGGAAGAGGGACAGAAGGCTGGAGAGAGCAGGAAGGTGTCTGAATTAACTACTGAGCTAGCAGCAGACAAAGCACCTTGGGAAGGCGAGAAATGAGGGAGCAGGAAGTGAGGGAAGGTTAATGAGAGTCAGGTGAAGTGTGTGAGTGAGCATGGTGAGAGAAAGGGAGAAAGGGTTACAACTAGGGGGAAGGGAGAGTGGAGAGCAAAGGATGAGTGTGAACCTGTTTCTTATTGCACTTCAGGGCAGAGAGCATTTCCATTCCTTTCTTGTTGGCCTTACTTAAAAATCAAATCTAGTGTTTGCCTTTACCGAGACTACTGAAACTCATTCTCAGCCTCATTCATACAGAAGGATTTCCATCCCCAAAGACAGTAATTTGTTAGTCCTTGTGGGAGCTGTAGTAGCTCAGAAAGGGGTAGATAGGGCTTAACTTAAGCAGGGGCGAGAGTTTGGGGTCACCACTGTGCATCTCTGTAGAGGGACCTATAGCTCTTCCAGATCCTCAGGGTACTGAGCCTCTGGTTGTCCAAGAGTTATTCATAATAGGATCTTTCCTAGCTTAGTTCCACAATGAGAATTGGGCCCTTAATCTGGGCTTTTGTATGGTAAGAGTTAGTGTGAGTTCTTAACAGGGAGTTTGTCTGGGTGAGTGAACCCAACATCATGCACACAAGTATGTGAGCATACAGCAGACACCAGTTGGACACATTAGATGAAGCCCTGTTCTTCTGCTTCTTTTTTGCAGGTCCTGAGGTATTTTGACTATGTTTTCACTGGTGTCTTCACCTTTGAGATGGTTATCAAGGTAAGAAACTCCCTTCATGGGGTTCCTGTAGGCTTGTGCATGTGTATGTTTGTGTGCAGTAGTGGAGGGGGGAGAGAAGGTGGCACGACACCAGTTGGACACATTAGATGAAGCCCTGTTCTTCTGCTTCTTTTTTGCAGGTCCTGAGGTATTTTGACTATGTTTTCACTGGTGTCTTCACCTTTGAGATGGTTATCAAGGTAAGAAACTCCCTTCATGGGGTTCCTGTAGGCTTGTGCATGTGTATGTTTGTGTGCAGTAGTGGAGGGTGGAGAGAAGGTGGCAAACAGTGTACAGTGCTTTTCCAATGGGTTACAAGTGGAAAGGCCATTTTTAAAGCTTTTTCCACAGTACTTCTTCCAGTTGGTTAGTGAAGAATCTACTCTGATTGTCCCACTGGCCACTGTTCTAGCTGTTCAATTTGTTCGGTAGAATGAATGGGCCAGAAAGAAAGTGCCAACAGCATTCCATTCTTGGGCTTGCTTTATCATTTGATAGGGTGTTGAACTCCAGGGTGTGTAGTGCCTTTGAAAGAGAGAGGAGAGGGGACATTCTCAAAAAGCACAGCTTAGCTCTGAGCAAGCTCTCCCTGAACACAGAGGACATGTCAGCCTTGGGGCCGTCACTAGCAAAATAAACCCTGCACATTCATTTCTACTCAGGAGGACAAAAAACTTGTCTTGAGACTGCCTAAGATCAGGGCTGGGGGGACTCTCAGGTCTGTCCCAGCCACTTAGGACCACTTGTAAGCCACCTACTATGCCTAATCAATATTCTCTGGTGGACCCGAGTGGGAGCAAATGGGTGGGACTTATTTGGTTGGCCTGTGAACCCAGGGCTGGGAGGGATGCTGGTATAGAACATGTCCTGAGTGAGCTTGGAAAGATTAGGTGAAATGGGGAATAGAGTTGTTGGCAAAGTTTCAATTGACAGTGACAAGTGCTGCAACTTCCTCCTTGTGGGTGGAGAATGTTTTAAGCATCTCGTGGAACAGAATGTGACATAGCAGCTTGATTTTAGTTTTGTCTTAAATTTGGATTTAAAGAACCCTTTTTATGGAACCTCCTTCACTCTTCCCTCCTCCCCCAACACAGTTGTATCCTAGCAGTACCCGCCACCTCTAAAATTCTGAGCTTGGTCCATGAGACATTGCTTAAGCTATAAGGGCCACGTCTTTCCCACTCATGTGCCTAAAATTAGGCAGCTTGATCCATGCTCAAACAATCAAATAAGCCTGACTTTCAGGTGTGCTGAGCTCCCATTTAGAGCAATAGTCATTGAGATTATGTGGCTCACTTTGATATAACTTTGACTGTTGGTCACTTATGCAGGTACCTAGCTCCAGGCACTTAAGCAGACCTAAGAGTGCTTGTCTCCATGGCAGTCCCTTGACATTTTCAGTTTGTTAAGCCCAGGGTTTAGTCACCCATACTCCAGGGACAGACGAATCCTGAGCACATCTGCCAACCAAGCCCTGGAGGGAGAACTGTTTCTACTTGAGTCATTCATTGCCTGTGTTATAACCCCTTTCTTGCAGATGATAGATCAGGGCTTGATCCTGCAGGATGGCTCCTATTTCCGAGACCTCTGGAACATCCTGGACTTCATCGTGGTGGTGGGGGCTTTGGTGGCTTTCGCCTTGGCGTAAGTGACTACCTTCTATTTTTACTCTGCCTTCCCAAGGGCGCATACAGAGCTGCTTGAGACAGGGCAAGGTTAGGTTGGTGGTGAGAGGCATCCATGAGCTGTGACTTTCAGAACCCAGTTTTCTTTGGAACCCTCTCATTCTGTACTCTTCACACTCTGAATATCTCCTGCTCCCCTTGGCAGTTCATGAACATGCTCCAGAGTCTTACCAACACAGCTCTGAGCACCTAGAAACAGATCTGCTGGCTACCTCTAGGACAAGCCAAGAAAAAGCCAGTATCTAGAGGCTGTCGGACTTGCTTCTCCATTTTTCCAAATATTTAACTGGTGAGAACTGGACAGTTGGGAAGGAAAGGAAAGTGACTTTGTGCTATTTAAATATAGGAGAACTGTTGGTGGAGACACCGGACCAAGATGAGAGGGGAGCAGGGTGGGGTAAGAATTAAGTAGCTTCCTACTATTTATACGAAGAGTGGACAGAAGTGATGCCAGCAACACTTACCAATATTTTCAGTGTATAAGTCAGAGCTGAGACTGGCCAGTAAACACTGACTCAGCAGCAGAACTGACATCAACTGACCAATTATTCTCACACTCCTCCAAGAGGGGTGTATTTCCCTGAGGATATCCTGAGGGTCTAGGGTATGCTGCAGGCCTGTTGTCCTAATTAAAACTCCACAGCGGTGGCTGATATAATCCTTTGGCTTCTCTGGCCCCTGTTGTACTGATGATGACATCAAGAGCATTGGTGCATTAGGCTGCAGTGATGGCTCATCCCAAGGGGCAGAAAGTTTTGCTGAAACTTGGTGTTGCCTCAGTCAGCAGTCCCATTATAAGGCACAGTCTTATGGCCCCCACTAATCCTTCTGTCCAACTTTAGACTAGGATAAAAGAGAGGAGTGGTTTAACATTAAAGCCTAGCATGGGCATTTTCTACACAGCAGGAGTTGGGGGAGATGCCTACCATACTGGATCTTCCTCAACTTTCAGATAAAGGGGTTGTGAGGAAAATTGTTTCCAAAGGGCACTGGCACAAAAACACCCTTGTGTTTTACCTCATTTGGCACTAAAACACCAGGATTTCTCTACCCCACTTCTTCTGTGTGCAGGTGATGGGGTTCAGAACAGCAGTGAGCTAGCTCGTTGTACTGTGGCCAGCCGATGGGGGTCTGCTTTTTCCTCTTTTGTCTGAGGATATTATCTATGAGGCACTTGGGATTCATTTTTTACCCCCTTCCTCCTATTCCTGGATTGATCAGAAAGTGCAGTATTGCCTCAGTGAGGGGCTGTCCCATACTCCCCATAGAAGGGATGGGGGAGGGATACAGGTATTCAGGTACCATGGTGATGGGCGTGGTATAAGAAGAGAGGAGGCTGTGGCAGAGCAATAATTCTACTTACTTGTGACTGCTTGGCACATGTGAACCATCTGAGAAGGGAAGAAGCAAAGAACAGAGTCTTGTGTTCCAAAATGTCATGGGTTTGTCATGTTATCATTCTTTCTTTGTGCCTTTGAAACTCGTGATGATGGCTTTAGTGTTGATGGAAGGGGAGGGACTGACAGCCATGGAGACTGAAGCTCTGTGTTTGTCTGCAGCTCAGGTACTGTGCAGGGGTCTCAGGGAGCTTTGATGTCCTGAGGCCCAATGTCACTTGATGGATTATACTCTGTAATCCATTGCTCACCTTTCTGTGCATCACTTCTCCCTCACACCTGAACATATCTTCTCTGCTCTCCCACTCAATGTCTCTCACCCACTAGCACCCTCACTTGCTCATTCACTTGCTCTTGTTCTCTCTCCCTCACTCTCTTGTTCACTCACTCTCTGATGCATTCGGCAACTGCTCTTTCTTCATGGAGAGCGCTAGAGAATTCAGCTTGCTAAGCATCTGGCCAAGTGAAATCACAGACCTTACAACTCAACTAGGTAGTGAGGAAGGGATTTGCGACCAATCCACTAGTCCCTGTCTTGGTGCCGTTTTGTGGAAATGCTGTCAGGTGACCATGCAGGCAGTCTGCTGGTAGTCACAGAATTCTTACTCCTTAGTTACACTCCAAGTGATTTAGAGACTCAGCCATGTCTACGGGATGCTGTCTAGTCACTGCACCAGCTGGGAACAAAGGGTAAACCTTCTAGTTTCTCGTTCACATAAAGTTTGAATCCATCCCCATTTGAGAAATATTTAGGCTGTGGTTTTGGCATCTTACATCATTCTGGAACTGCCAGCTGAATGGCAAAGTACACTAGAGTCTTTCTTGCTTGGAGTGCCCTTCAAATTCAACCCAGGCTAGTAGGAACAGACAGTTCTTTTCATATGACAGCTCTTCATGGTCTTACGTGATGTAAGTGAATGACCTGTTGGCCCACTTCCTAGTGGGCAAGTGTCCATATCATAACAGACACTGCCAGAGTTGGCACTTACTGGACTGCAAGTTGCCAATTTCAGAAGGAAGAGTTAGCTTATGGTGATTGGACTGCTCTCTTGCCCTGAAAGGTGGTCTCTCCAGATCAGTGTAGAGGCGCACTGGCAGGGCAGTACATGTAAGCTGGCACTGTTGCTGGCTGGGCCACACTTGTCCTAGGGCTAAACAGAACTTCATTCTCCAGAGCAGTCAGTCTGACACTGCTACCAGCATGCCCATTGCTTTCCACCAACCCAGAGGATGCCCAGTAAATGCCGCAGTGATTTACAGACCCATCATTTCCTTAGTGACTAGCAACTGTCCCCTTTACATATACAGGCATTACCAGGAGGAAGAATATATATTTTGGTACTTTGGGGCAGCTGAATTCTCAATCGGAAGCTTTCTGTCCATTGATTTAGACACTTGAAATCCTCACACATAGAAGGCCCATGTGCCTTCATGAATGTTTGTAGCAAACATGCATGTTGCCTTATTATGTAGTAGCTCTAGATTTTTATATATAAAACTGCTTACATTATGTACAAGAGCTCTTTATAATGGAAGCTTGACATTTTTCCCCCTAGTCCGTGGCAGCTGTCTGTCTTTTTTTATTTGGGAAGGGGGGGCCATGATCTGATGTTCTGATGGGAAATGAAAACAAAACATCCTTAGTGTAATGATGCAAACACTAGATTTGACTAGGGTAATTTCCATTTGGCTTTTACATTATAATACATATATAAGAACATCTATTTCTCCTTCAAGTTGCTTGTCACCCTCCTGTCTTGGTGGGTTGAGTTTTCTGCTCTGGCAGTGGGCCCTGCCATGCATTGGTGCCCTTCACTGCTATCCTCTGGTTCCCATGGAGATGCAGACCATTTACCAACTATAAATGTCCCTGCTGCCAACCTTACTCCCTTGTGGTTTTAAGGAAAAGCTCCTCCCAGGGGATGCTGTATTCTTTTTTCTCCCTGGATGATGTTCTTTGTATGGACTTCATTTATTTTACAGGTGCTGCATGCCCCTTTCCTTCCTCGGCCTCAGTTGTTTTTGGGTAGGCAAAAAAATGACACACAGCCTTGGGCCTTCTGGGTATTTGCACATTGAGGTGGGTTGCTGACATGTTGTCTGTAGAGGAGGGGTGGGTCTACCACGTTGCTGCACACCACTTTGTGGTGGCCGATAACATCAAGTGTGTAGGTTATATCAGTCCTACAGTGCTTATCAGTCTCAATGTGACAGAGTCCTTGAATAAGTTATGTGGCTGAGAGAATTTGGAAGGTTCGCATGGAGAGAGTAACCTTAAAAGAGTATGTGGTGTGGTCTGGTAGAAGGGTTCCTGTGGTTCCTGAGGAAAGGAAGGATGGGGAGCAGCAGAGTAAGGGTCCTGGACTTTGGAAAAACAGACTTCAACTTGCTCAGACTTCAGCTCAGTGATCAGCTGCAGGGGGTACCCCGGGTGCTCGCCCAGACCCAGGAGGCACCAATTGGCGAGCCAGTGGGGGGGTCCCCCACGCACTCGCAGCGGACCCAGCAGTGGACTGGAAATGTTTCTGGTCCACTTCTGGGTCCGTCACCAAGCATGCTGGGGACTCCCCTGTGCTCCCATGAGACGCTCCATCCACCCCAGCATCTCAGCATTCACGAGCTGCCTGGTACCTTGAGGTATGTAGAAAAAACATTTAAAGCAGTGTCTATGTCCGAAACATTGAATTTCTCTGAATTGATTCGAAGGTTTCCGATTCGATTTGAAGAGATTAAAGGGTCTCCTGATTCAATTTGGATTCAGATATTCAGATGCTGAATTGGGCCAAATCTCCACCGAATTGAATCAGTGATTGAAGCTTTGCACAGCCCTAGTGATTAGTATCAATCAGCATGGATTCACCAGGGGCAAGTCATGTCTGACCAACCTGATTGCCTTCTATGACAAGGTGACTGGCTTTTTGGATGCAGGGAGACTGATGGATGCAGTGTACCTTGATTTTAGCAAGGCTTTTGATAAGGTCTCCCACAACATTCTCCCAGGCAAGCTAAAGAAGTATGGGCTTGATGAATGTACTGTTAGGTGGATAGAAAACTGGCTGGAGCATTGGGCTCAGAGAGTAGTAATCAATGGCTTGATGTCTAGTTGGTAGCCAGCATTGAGTGAAGTGTCCCAGGGGTCGGTCCTGGGGCTGATTTTCTTCAATGTCTTCATCAATGACCTGGAAGATAGCTTAAAGTGCACCCTCAGCAAGTTTGCAGATGAGACCAAGCTGGGGGGGAGATGCTGGAGGGTAGGTCTAAGATTCAGAGTGACCTAAACAAATTGGAGGACTGGGCCAAAAGGAATCTCATAAGATTCACCAAGGACAAGTGCAAAGTTCTGCACTTAGGATGCACAGTCCCATGCACCAGTGCAGGCTGGGGGCTGACTGGCTGGGCAGCAGCCCCGCAGAAAACGACCTGGGGGTTACAGTGGACAATAAGCTGAATATGAGTGAGCAATGTGCCCTTGTTGTCAAGAAGGCTAACGGCATCCTGGGCTGCATTGGTAGGTGTGTTGCCAGTAGGTCAAGGGAAGTGATTATTCCCTTCTATTCAGCACTCTATTCAGCACTGATGAGGCCACATCTGGAGAACTGTGTTCAGTTTTGGGCCCCCCTCTACAGGAAGGATGTGGACAAATTGGAGAGAGTCCAGTGGAGGGCAACAAAAATGGTGAGGAGGCTGAAGCACATGACTTATGAGGACAGGCTGAGGGAACTAGGCTTATTTAGTCTAGAGAAGAGAAGATTGAGGGGGGATTTAGTAGCAGCCTTCAGCTACCTGAAGGGGGGGTTCAAAAGAGGATGGAGCTAGACTATTCTCAGGGGTGGCAGATGACAGAACAAGGAGCAACGGTCTCAAGTTGCAGCAAGGGAAGTTTAGGTTAGATATTAGGAAGAATTTTCTCACTAGCAGGGTAGTAAAACACTGGAACAGGTTACCCAGAGAGATGGTGGAATCTCCCTTCTTGGAGGTTTTTAAGACCTGGCTAAACAAAGCCTTGGCTGGGATGATCTAGTTGGAGATGGTCCAGCTTTGAGCAGGGGGTTGGATTAGATGACCTTCTGAGGCCCCTTTCAACCTTAATTTTCTATGATTCTATGATCTATGATATGAGGTCAGATGTTGAGGGTATTAGTGCTTTGATATACACAGCACACTGTCTTATGGTTTAATGGCTATCTGTTATAATAAAACAGCCACATAGTCCCTGTGAGTTCTTGTGAGAATTCAAAGAAATAACCCCAGGCAGGTTGGCATTAAAAAGGAATCCAGGCAAACCCACCTCTGTGAAGACCTATCTCTTGCTGCTTCACATTGTTTCCCAAGAATCTGCTGCATCTCCAATGCGAACATGCATCATCATTCTTATAGTCACATTATTTATATTTCTGTGCCTGCAAAGCTAACATGGTTATTCAAATTCAGCCTAACTTAAAACCTCAGCATAAAATCACCCACCTCCAAACAATTTCAGCGTAAACTAGGCAATATCAGGAGACCACCAAGTAAGCAAGCTGTTTGTTTTTGTCTCCTATGATACTCTTTTATTAAGTATTATTGAGAGTAGCACAATTTTTAAAACATTTTTTGCAGTTTTACATCTTCATCAGTAAGTGTGACAGCTATTTTCTACACATTTGCAGCATAAAACATTGAGGTCCCCTTCCTCTTGAGAGCAGGGAGCTTGGTCCATTGTCCTATCAGACTTGTCAATATATTGGTGCAGGTTGGGTAAGGCAGTATCGGGTCTCTCAGTCCAGAAGATCTTGCATTTCTCTTGCTGCTGTTGTGAGCAAACAGCATCCTCACTCCCAGCACATCAGTGGCCTCTGCTGTGTCTAGCAGCAGTTCGGGAATTGCATTAATGTGGTATTTGTCATGTTTTTTGAGATGTGCGTGATTTCAGTTTACATTAAAGGCGTGAGCCAATGTGAGGGAGAGTGTAGGTAGGTGCAGAGCAAATATCTCCACACAGACCTGTTAAAGTACCTTAGTCCTTAATCTTGCCCTGTTACTTCTGCTGCTACGTTCTTCATCTCCTATTACACCCCAGATGTCACTCACACTGCACTCTATGGACTTAGTTAGGCAAACAAACCAATTTACAGTAAACCCATGGAGAGCCAGGTCAAAATAATACTCTCCCTATGCCTGAAGAAGGGTGTTTGTGCCTGAAAGCTTGCAAAGAACAATTTTTTCAACTATTTAGTTGGTCTAATAAAAGATATCCCATCTACCCAAAGAACCTTGTCTTCCTAGGTCTCTTGTTGTATGCTCACTGATGGAATTACAGTGTTGAAAGATCACTTTTCTATCTATCTATAAATCATCCTGTTAGCTCAGGATTCTGCAAAATGACTGGGATGGAATCTGGCATTTCTACTGCAGAATGGTTAAAAAAACCCCGGTGTGCTGCTTCATTAGATTGTGACCTATTTCACAACAGTGCTGAGATATCAGTAGATATCTAGCAGGGACTTGGCTCAAGCAGGGATGGAGGCTCCGATATGTTCAGAGAGCTCTCAGGCGATCCACCACTGCATAAATCATCAAAGTGAGTTTCACATCAGCTTGCTGTTTGACAGGCAGTTCTTGGTACTCCCCAGGGGAGGTGTTTGACTTGCCAGTGATGCTGTGTGCAAAAATTCTAGCAACCCTTGGATTTTGTACATGCTGGAATCTTTTCAGCAGCATTTTTTGTAAGGTCACAATATATAATGGTCTAATTCAGAGGCAGTGACACAGAATAGCATCTCCAGTACTTGCTGAAGTTGCCTGGTAGGAAAAAAATGTAGTGGCATCACACAACAGACTCATAGCCAAGCTCTAGAGATGTTTTTATCAGTATCCCAGGCCAACCAGGAAGCCCCAGCAAGGCAGTAGAAAACTTAGTTATCTGTCACAAATCTACCGATTTATCCATGTAGGCTTATTTAGTAGCATGTAGCAAAATTTTAAAGATGGATTATGAGTTTTCCAGGCAGATTCCTTTTAAAAAGCAGTAGCAGCTTATTGCTTTTGCTGGCTGCGGACAAGTCCCATTCCCAAGATGTCTCCTCATGAAACTCAAGGTAGCTGGCTATTTGATACTGTCTGAGTGAACCTCCTCCCAAAACTGAAGCAAGAGAGGAAGTTGCCACAGCAGCTCTGCCACTTGAAACTGCCACAGAAAGGGGATGGTCTTGTTGTAAAGACACTGGTTTGTGATTTTGGAGATCTGGGTTCAGTTCCTGGTTCTGGCACAGATTGTCTGCATGACCTTGGGCCACTTCTGTGCCACTACTCCCCAGCTGTAAAATGGAGATGATGATATATCTCCCACTTTGTTGGGGTGTTGGCATGGGAGATGCCCAGTTCCTCTGGTAAATGAGCCACGTAATGAAAAATCTACACATAATAGAGCACATAAGTGGAGTATGGCTCAGGTTCAGAATGCTGTGAAAACCAGTACTCCATGGAGAGACTGCTTAATTAGAAGATAAAATGTGCAACTAGAAACTAACAGAACCCTCCATCAGAGCCAGAGAGTTCAGGTAAATTGACCTGGCACTGAGCTGACTTGAAATCTGAGCCAGATCTGGAGCTCAGAGGTAGAGGCCCTAGAATATGCCTCCCAATAGTACCATGAAGGCAGAGAAGATTTAAGGTTGGGCACCATAACACAAACTGCCTTATAGTCAACCCAGATTCCAACCAATCTGATTCTGAAGTACATCTGATGGCCAGGAGGCCAAAAGAACTTAGTAAGTTCAGATTTTACAGAGTTAATGCATAATTAGACATCTTCTGAGCAAACCAAAAAGAACAATCTTCAGACCAACAGAGAATAAGCCAGACACAGTGGTGGTTCAAGGGATAATGTAATTTCAGGGAACTCCTAAGAACAACATTCAATATTTTTACATGGTATTCCATATACATTTCCTTTAGGGACTGGGCTGAGATAACTACTTGAGCCATTCATTGTTCTGTCTGCTTTCTACAGTTGGGAAAAGAGTAGCACTTGAGTCCAGTATATCATCCAGCAGTTTCTTTTGTAGTAGTGACTACAACAGTTTCAAATCAGCTTCTACTTCTCATCAGAACTCAGAATACCTGAATCAGTATGAAGGGTTAAGGGAGGACACCAGGTAAAATCCAGACTAGTCCTTCCTGATTCCTTGGGGAGTTGAGGGCAATGCCTGGCTCTGTGGTTCTTGGGAAGGGATTCTGGTTCAATGGATATAAAAACTGCCTTTTACATCCAGGTTGAGTTATTGGAAGCCACAAGCAGAGCTGGACTTTGTAGTGCTGACATGTGAAATATCAGAATGCCAAGGCTGTGAGAGAGGCTTGTATTTCTGCTCTAATGCAGCTCTTGATCCCTTTCTTCCTTTGCTCTCTTGCTTCCTTGAATTTCCTTATCTTCTCTGTTTTCTCTGCACCTGTTGTTTTTTTTCTTTTATGGCTGCCTGACTGGATTACCCACAGGAATGCTTTGGGGTAATTATACCATTTGATTCTCTTTGGGGTACCAACAAGGGGAAATGGCTGTTGGGGAAACTGCTTTGTCTGTCTGTCTGTCTGAAGTTTTCTTATTCCCAGCTGAAGTCCTGCTTGCACATGTCTTTATCACCTGTGTGGACTGTTGATGGCTTTGCAACACACTAAGAAGGTAAAGATGGTGAGACTTGGGGCTGACAGGTAACGCCTGTTAGCATGCATCTTCAAAATGGTCTTGGTGTGCACAGGGGACTTTTTAAGCAATGAAAGTTGCATGCCCCCTGCTCTGGATGTGGCGACCTGCAACTAATCGCATCTCAAATGCAACATCACCAGATACATGTACAGGACCACTACAAGGAGAAAGAGAGGAACTCTTATTCCAAGATTGAGAGAAGGACACACAGAAGCCTGTGTGCATGCATTTTGGATTAAGAACACGATGGAGACTGGTGAAGCATACCATGTCCTTGGTGCAAGAGGAAGTCAGGGTTATTTGCACTATCATTCTGCACATTTATTCAGTAACTAGTGCTAACCCAACCAGCAGGCTTGATTGGCTAACTATTCCAAACCTTGTTATTCTGCTGGTCAGATAAAGTTGTGGAAGTAAGCAGCAAATCATAGGCCAGTCATCAGCTGGTTTAAGCCTGTATAGCTCCACTTGCGTAGATTGGAACCCCAAAAAAAGAAGAAACCCGAAGTTCTTCAAAAAAACACTTTAATTCCTTTCCTGTGGGGGAAAGTGACTTAACATTGTTCCCAGAGGGCACTTTAATTGCTAATCATAATGCTTCTGAAACAACCTGTGACTTACCTACAAGAGGTTCTCTGGAGACTGTGTGGTTAATATGAAGTGCTGTGTGCTAGAGAGCTCCCATTAAAGACAGAGTGCTGTTCAGTCAGCTCCATTGTGTGCTTGTGTGTTAGAGCTATGTGAAACTTCATGGTTTTAATTCACAGGGTCCTTCATAGGCTCCTTGTGTCTGAGCACCCCTTACAGTTCATACGAAGTAGACAACTTCATATGGAGTCCAGCTGAAAGTACAGTCTTGCCTAGCTGTGGGTTAAAGCCAAGGAGAGTATTACACATTTTTCCTCTGATGCTATAATCCCTCTCAAGTTGCCCTTCTCCTTAACCCCAGCAGAGATGGAGGAAGAAGATTCCTAACACCAGCCCTATGTTTCAGGCTTGGCACACAGTCCCAGCAGGCTGAGCTTTTGCCTTGTACTTTGCCCTCTTCTGCAGTGGAGATCTGGTAATGAGCTATTCCTTTGTTCTGCTCCTTCAAAGAAGGAAACAAGCTAGACTCTTTCTCTTTTCCATTGCAAATTCTTAGCAAGTGACCAAAGGGAGGAGACAGGTGCCTTGGCTACCCTCCCTCTGTCCTGACATAGGGCTAAATGATAATGGATCCTGTGCTTCCACCTCTGCTACTTGATGCCGTTCTTTGCCTTGGTATGGGGCTGAGATGCCCTAGCCCAGATGGATCATGCGAATGAGGTTTCAGTTGCAGGGTAAGGCAAAGAGCACTGTACAGCAATAGGCACAGAAGACCATTCCCTGGTGTCCTGACACTCTTGCTTGTAGGCATTAAAATAAATGGTTCTGATCCTCCCAAGATCTGAACTATCATAGCTCCATTGTCCTCTGGCAATTTGTGCCAGATGTGGATCTGGACAGGCATGTTTACCTGTGAAACTGCTTCACAAATACCTAATGTGAGAATGTGCTTCTAGACTGATGTAGGAAACAGGAGGAAACACAAAGTGGGTTAATTCCAATGTTTGTTCAGTTGTTTTAAATGTGTGTGGGGGGGTGGTACTCTGATTGAAGAGTTTTAATTAGTGTTTTTGTTTACATCTATTTACAGTCAGGTCTATCATTGTGCTTTCTATTGTATTAACCCTTACAAAAGGAGCAGTGTAATTAGGAGTATCCTTTGTCGGAAGTTTATTTGCTAGAGCCTTTCAAGTACACTGAATCCCAGATGGATACAAAATGTATTATTTCTTTTCATAGAGCCTGTACATTTGGCTAGCACAAAGTAAATTTCTGATTATTTGAAGATCAGAACTGTGCTAGCTACACCTGGGTTTTATTTATTTATTTATTTATTTTTAAAAGCCTGCTGTTGCTATCAGCATTTCACCACGGCTTACCTTAACAAAGATCCCTTTTTTTTTCTTTAAAAAAACATAGTATAAACCTCTGCTATAGATTACCATTCCAGAGTAATTAAGAAAGCTGTTCTACACCCCAGCTAGCTACAGCCACATTTAATAGCAAGCAAGCAGAGGTTTTTCAACCATGAAATAATTGAAGATATGGCCTAGGATTTTCTAAGATGAATATCAGATTTTCTTGAAGGTCAGAGGGAGATGATATTAGAGATAAGTGCTAGTGCAGTAGATAGAACATGCTGAATATTTGCATTTTTCCACCATGGAACATTATTGTTATTACAAATAGGTAATATTCTTACAAGTGAAACATTTTTTTTTTTTAATTGCAAGGTCAGTGGCATTTTGTTAGTCCCACTTAAAAATGGCACAGACCAAGGAGTGTTTCTGCACTAGGAAAACAGATTGTTCAAACCTGGCAGGCAGCAAGAGGTAGTGATGCCCCAGGAATTCTGTGTGGCACAGTGCCTTCGAAGCAGATGGCACAACTCAGAGAGAGTGTTGAATCACCTGCTTTAACCTTGTTATGTCACCGTTTCTCACAATAATAGGGTTTGTTAGGGCAGTTGTTCCACAGCAAAGGGAAACTACATTAAACCTGGAGCTGGGATTAATGCTCTGACCACCTAAGTCTGATCTAAGGTGTCTGATTTTTCATTCATTAACATTTTTGGTGTACGTGTTAAATACCATGAATCATGTCAGCAGGTAACACATGGCTGACACCAGTAGATTTGCATTTGAATGTAGCCCTACTTTTCTCATGTATATGCATATGTTGACAGATAACAAAAGCTGTTGAAAAACTGCACTAAGCTCATCCCAAATTCTGGAAGTTTATTATCTTTTTGTTTTGTTTTTGGGTGTGCGTGCTTCTCTCAAACTCTGTAGGACCAACAAGGGCCGGGATATCAAAACTATTAAGTCTCTCCGTGTACTGCGGGTCTTGAGGCCGCTGAAAACTATTAAGCGATTGCCCAAACTCAAGGTAATGCTTGCGATTCTCTGCATCCATTTGTATTTTTCCCAGGGTTAGTTGGCATTATGGCAGAGTCCCAAGAAGGTTAACATCACAGGTTGTGCCCATTTTTAAAAGAGATATTTTCTTCCTCCCCTCTACCTTCTTTCACATGGCACTTGAGGTCCTGGCCCTGGAGCACAGACTAGTTCTCTGTACAGAAGGCAGGGCAGACTAGCACCTTAGAAACTGATTCATAGAGGTATAAAGTTCTCTATGGCTAGCAGTAGATAAAGAGTAGAAGTATTTGTATGGGTTCCTGTCATAACATCTCAAAGCATTCTGCAAACTGTACCAGTGGATTGACAGGCTGTTTGCAAGCCCAGTTTTCACACATAGCCTCTCTTAAGTCCAATAGGCTGTTTAAAATTCATCTCTGGATACTCAGTTGGTTAAAGTAGGCTTGGCTGCTGCTTTGCTTATTTAAGCATGAGGTTTGAGAACCCCAATTAGACACCCATAATATATAGGGATTATTTAATCTGCTACTGAAACTAGAGGTGGCCTCAAAATAAACCCGACATGCTGGATACTGCAATGGGGTAAGCTTATTTGAAGAAAATTCAACTATTGACCTAAAGATCTGTTCCTTTCCCACCAAGGCAGCTTACAAACCTACTGATCCCCTTTTGGGTGGTGATAGTTTAGGCAGCGTAGATGCTTCTCCACAGCTGTTCTGAGTACCTATTGCAGTCTGTGTAGTTCTGCCTGACTTAGGTGTGCAGAATGCCACACAAAGTCAGTAAATGCAGTGGAGTCTGCTGGAAGCGGACACAACATTAAAAAAAAAAAACCCGTTTCAGGGATAACTTTGTAGAGCCTTTAAAATCAGATGCCAGTTCTCCACCTGTGATTCACAACACAGAGCTCTGACTACCAGAGCTCTCAGTGGTTCAGTGTAGTTCAGTGTTCAGAGGAGTCCATGTGGTCTTGTGTGTGTTGTCCAGCCAGGCACCAGGACCATACTGTGCTACATGCTCCAGAGACACAGAACAAGAAGACAACTCCAGTTGTAGCAGCCTCTCACATTCTATGTCATAAATGAAAGCTGGTATTAAAACAAGCCTGAGGCCCCTGCCCAGCCCAGCAGTATATTTACCAGCAACTAAAAGCACTGACATGTATAACTTGCTAAAAGAATCAGATACCGTAAGAGTACTATTTTCTAGAGATTATTTTAAAAGAAAAATGCCATTTTGCTGCTGGCCTGCCAGTTGACCTAGGGCCAAGTCAGTTACCTCTCTGTGCTGAGGTTTCCCCATCGGTGAAAAAGGGAGAATGAGGCTGCCTCCTTTGTTATGTGTTTTGAGGTCTAAGGATGAAAAAATGTCAGGTGTTGATGTTACTGTAATTAGAGATGTCCAGTCTTCTATCCGAGAAGTCTTGCCAGTTGAGGTGAGGCTAAACAAATCTGTGGTCATTAGCTGTTACTGAGGTCCCTCGTACACTGCTGTAGCTGCAAAGAGTGCTATGTGCTATAAATATTCACTACTGCTTCTGTTCCTGATGAAGCAGTTCTCTCCTAGGTAGGATTTTTTGGGGGCGGTATATTGCAGTCATGTATAAAATAGCTGATGCTGCCTAGAGCAAAGTATGGTGGTGGCATTTTTTCCTTACTAGAAGTGAGAAAAACATCCTGTCATTAGGTAATTTTGGTCCTAAACTCTGCCAGAATATGTTGGTTTTCCAGCATAATCATGTCAGGAAATCACGTCTTTGGTTTTGCTTTCTCCTGCAGGCTGTCTTTGACTGTGTTGTGACTTCCTTGAAGAATGTCTTCAACATACTCATTGTTTACAAGCTCTTCATGTTCATCTTTGCTGTCATCGCTGTCCAGCTTTTCAAGGGGAAATTTTTCTATTGTACAGACAGCTCTAAGGACACAGAGAAGGACTGCATGTAGGTACAACAAGCAGCATATATGAACTAGTCTGCTTTCATGGCAAAGACATTCATTCCCATCTAGTGTGCTGAGAATCATAAGTACCTGAAAAGTCTAGGATTCTCACTCTTCCCTCTCCCTCCAACCCCTCAAAACTCTGGTTACTGTCCAGTTTGGGTTCTGAATTCAATCCTTGGTCATGGGTTACACACAGTCCTCACTTCCTGGGCAACCAAACCCATAAAATGTTGCTTGAAGACTCATGTAGAAGAGGCCTTACAGACCACTTGCTCTCATTCCATTCTGGAGGTGAAATCTCTGTTTCAGAGAGAATGCTCCCTGCCATCTTGGGAGAAGTCATAGTGGGATCAGTACAAAGAAACCCAGCTTTAAATGAACACTGAGCCTCCCTGCCTCCCCTTAGCTGGTCTCTTCAACTGAAGGTTGAGACGCATTTCACCTGGTGCTTTCCTCAGTGGGGTTTTTTTCAATTAGAATGTCGAGGAAGCAAAGTCAGCTCCTAATTGTTGCCCTGCACAAAACATTACCATTTAGCCCCATGACTGGCTAAGAAGCCATAGCTTCAGCTGCTGAAATGACCACTTGGGCTTCAAACTCTTGTAATCCATTCTCTTTTACTAGCCCAACCCTCCCCCGCTCCCCCCGCCCCAGCTTCCCCTCTTTTGTCCTTTACTCTTTCATTGATCTCTTAAGTTTTTCCTTGTTTGTTTTCCCTATTTTTCTCCAATCCTGTTACCTTCCTTCCTTTTTTATTGTTTTGTTTCCCTCCTCTCTGCTTCCCTCACCCTGCTCATCCTTTTTCTCCTTATCTCCGATGCCCTTCATTTTCTGTCCTTACTAAGACGTTTCCATACCTGCATGGAGAGAGTAGGTTTCTTTCCATACTGCCCCAAGCGTGAAGCCCACCTCTCCAGTGCTGACGGCATAAAGAAGTCCTGAGGTTCTCTTCTCACCTTACAGAGGCAATTATGTGGACCATGAGAAAAACAAGATGGAAGTGAAGTGTCGTGAATGGAAGCGCCATGAATTCCACTATGACAATATCATTTGGGCTTTACTTACACTCTTCACTGTCTCCACTGGAGAGGGGTGGCCACAGTGAGTATTAGACTTGGTTGTCTTTGCTTGCCTGTGTCTATGAGCATAGGTTTCACAGCGAAACCTAACGTTTTCCCCTTTCAGAAAGCTATGTGGTGGAGTTAATATCTATGTTTCTCCTTGTGGGAGAGAAAAGGAGAGAAAGGTTGAGAAATTATATCAGTGTGAGAAAATGTTGGCAAGTCAGTGGGTGTGGTGAGATCAGCTCCCTTCCTGCAAAGTTAACTATGGGACAGTGCACTTTTCTGAGTGGGCCTGAGGGGACTTTTGGGCCAGTCCATCTCCGAGCATGAAACAGCTGGAGCTCTATTGGTTACTCCACTCTTCATGTTGGAGGAGCTCTTGGGCAGGCTTTGTCCTTATGTGTGACACTGGGGAGCTCTGGGACACTCCTTTGCATGAGTGACATGCTTTAACTCCAGCACAGCGCATCTTCATTTGGACACAGGAAATAGTTCTGGGCTCTTGTAATGTAGGAGGGAAAATATCTCCTCCTATGGTGAGCACAGCAACCCTTATGAGCTTGTTCTTGGGATTCTAGCAAGGATTTGGTTTGTTTTATCAATGTGACAAGTATGCACTGTAGGATTGGATGGAGGTAGATATTGGAAAGGGGTTCTGTTAGGTACATGATGCTCTCCCAGTAAAAGACAGTCTGGGGAGGCATCTGGAATGGGCCTGCCATCATGTGTGTGACCCACTGGGCTTCTCTTTGCCCCATGCTCCAGGGTGCTGCAGCATTCCGTGGATGTGACCGAGGAGGACCGGGGGCCCAGCCGCAGTAACCGCATGGAGATGTCCATTTTTTATGTGGTGTATTTTGTGGTCTTCCCTTTCTTCTTTGTCAACATCTTTGTGGCTCTCATTATCATCACATTCCAGGAGCAAGGAGACAAAATGATGGAGGAATGCAGTCTGGAGAAGAATGAGGTAATGCATAGCACAGGTAAAGTAGGAGAGCAGAGGGTGGAATAAAAGATGGTTTCATTTTCCCTTTGCTGTGGAAAGACAGTTTAAGATGCAGGCCACAGAGAGCAGAGCCCTAAGGCCTAAATAAGGCATATGGTAAGAAAACCAGCAGGAGTTCAGTAACGTTCACTTCAGTCTGAACTACACTCTGTGCAGTGCATGCCTTCCCATTGTATCTTATTTTCTCATGTGCAATAGCCTCCCAAATAAGATATGCACCTTGTTTTTGAAAGGCTGCATGAAGAGTAAACAATCTTTCCTTGCTTCTGCAACAGGAGCCTCTGATGTGGGGGGCAGAGAAAATATTGGCGGCCAACAGCTAGGGAGCCCCTTGTGCAGCACTGCAGCATTACTTTCACTCTCTCCTATCCCCATCAGAAACTGCTCTTACTGTATAGACTTGCTCATAGGTGCTCTGTGAGGGGAAGGGAAAACCTATCCAAATTTCCAGCAGCTGAATTTTGGAAAAGAGCGTGTGTTGTATATAAGAAAAGGTATTTTCTGGAGCCTCAGATATTTCAATCATTCCTGGATCATTTTTACTAACTCAATCCTGATCCCCCTCACACCAACAGTTCACCAAGCTGCCCTGATATCTTTAAAGGGGGCCATTGTTGTAAAAGCCCCATCTGTGGCTGCTGTGAATCACCCACACCATTACTAGGATGGAATAGTAAGGAAGCCATAACTCCTCCCTGACCCACTTTACAGCCAGCAAGGTTTTGCCCCTTGGTTTTAAGAGGGAAATTATTTTCTTCATCTGTATTTTATCTTGTTCTGTTGGCTATAGTGAGCCATAGCTTATTCGTGCTAAACTAATACTGTTTTCCATTACACAACAGATGTAGTGAAGTAAATGGATCAATTACCCATTGATATAATACAGTGACAGTAAGATAAATTAACATGTAAGAAAGAAGACTTCCTGTGTAGTTCCTGCCAAAGAGCTTGCATTTTCAGATGATAATTTGAAGAAACTTCCTGTGTTTGTGGCAATAACCATACCCAGGTGTAAGAAAAATGCCAAAGTTGAAGAACCAATGTGTTCATTAGCTCACGATATGGTTGTTATTATTATTATTAGACAAATATATATTATAATTCCTGAAAACAAGCCAAATGTAACAACTCAATAATTCTATACAATCCTTGTAGTCTGATCATTCCATACAAATATAAATCATTGTAGTAATATCATTATCATTAACTCCTTTATATTCAGTCTGAATGCAGCAAAACAGTTTACAGTACAGTACAATGAACATCCTACATTGTTTCACTACATTAACGTCTACATGTAACTTCATCTTACAAAGACCTTTTGCTTACAGAGGCATGTCCTTTCCTATGTCCGGTTCAGTTAACTCAGCAAGTTGCTGTGATGTAGGGCTGTTTCTGTAGCTTAATACCCAGAATAGACTTCATAACCCCTGACAGAATATGAGGATTGTGCCCATGGCAGATCCTCTGCCTGGTTTCTCTGCAGTCCACCAAACCCTACTATCAACACAAGGACATGAAGGGGGAAAAAGAGAAGCTGAGTCCAAGCTAATGGATTTTTTTTTCCAGAGGGCATGCATTGACTTTGCCATCAGTGCCAAACCTCTCACTCGCTACATGCCTCAAAACCGACATACCTTCCAGTACCGTGTCTGGCACTTTGTGGTCTCTCCTTCCTTTGAATACACCATCATGGCCATGATAGCTTTGAATACTGTGGTGCTGATGATGAAGGTGAGCTGACCAAATTTCTCAGAGGCTGGGAATGGCTTGCCCCTGCTTAGGGAAGTTGTGGGGGAGGAGAAGCAGACAGGAAGGGATTTAGAAAGCATGTAATTTGTTTTTAAGGAGATGATGCCAGGATTTCATTTTATATCATGTCTGTTGGCTAAGAAACTGATGAGGTCACAATCTTGGCTCCTCCAACACTGTCTTTAGTTTTCATTCAGGCATGCTGTACTCAATCCATAGAGCTGAGTTCTTGCAGTGAAACCTGGAAGGCAATAAATCCCAATGACATACATGGCCAGACTTTCAAAGGGACCCTGATGTAGCCTCTTACAGTTCACCTATGCTTTTTTACTTCCAGGTTTAAATATCTGGCTAAATGATTTGTCTGCTCAAATGCAGTTCTTTCACCGACATCTAACTTTTTTGATTTCCGTGTGCAGAAACATGCTGCATTCCACATGGAGGCCTCCACTCTATTGCTGAGCGGAGGCCTCAGTATTTCTTCACTCTTTTACTGAGAGGAAGGCTAAGACTATCATATTTTTATAAGAGTCTCTCTTTGTTTCTAGTTTTCCTTGTAGCCTGGAGGAATCTCTTATGAGACCACAGATTTGCACACAAAAGCATTGCCCACTTGCAATTTTCCCAGAAAGGATTCATTTTGGGTAACAAGCAGCCTCTTTGAAACAAAAGTGCCTTGAACAGGAGACATCAAGAGTTATTGGGGTACTCATAACAATTGCAGTATGACCTGGATTTATTCTATGATTCACTCCTAGTGATTGCCATTTTTAAGTGCCCTTCCTTTCCTCAGTTTCACTTACTCACCCTTCCCTACCAGATGGGGCTAATCAGGAGAAAGGAAGGCTCATTATTTCATTACTGGGAATGTATGGTAGCTGGCTTAAATAACAAGAGTTTTACCATTATGCCATCCATCACATGGGATGAAACTCAGGGGCTTGTCCAAGTCCCATTATGATGAAATTCAGGGAGCCTTGTTGTAAGATTCCATTTCTGTAGCTGTTCATTAGATGGTTACAACTCTCTCTTTCTGGCAGTATTATTCTGCACCCTATACATACGAGCTGGCTTTGAAGTACCTGAACATTGCATTTACCATGGTGTTCTCCTTGGAATGTGTCCTGAAGATCATAGCTTTTGGCTTCTTGGTAAGTTGTTACTACCAGTACTCAGTACCAGCATGAGATTCTCAATTGATCTGGCACTGCTACAGGATTTTGGTGTCCTAGTTTGTAATTAGTATGCTGTTCTGGCATTTGGAATGGGATTGTCTTCCTACAGCATGCAAATGATATTTAGATCTCACATTTGATTGAGGACTGTAATTGTCCTGAGTATTGGAACCTTTCTTTGGAGTCCCATGAAGCACGCTGTGTCTGGATGTGTACCTGGTTTCTCAGTAAAGATCCTTCCAGATCCCTGAGCCAATCTGTGGATCTTTTAGGATTCCAAAATGAGTATCTCTGGATGAAATCTCTGGAGTTTTAATACAATCGGAGCTGCTGAGAGTCACCCCCACTACTGCCGCAAACTGTTCTCATTTTTAGTCATTTTGCTCTTTTGAATGAATTCAACACTAGTGAAAGCTATCAGATTGTCATCCCCCACCTCCTGAGTAATTCAGTTTCCAGCCCCATTGAGTCCTTAGCCCTTCTGCTGAGACTGCCAGCCAGAATGCCACTTACTGTCTGTTGTGGTGGTGGCTGTTGTCATGTTAACACCTCTCTGCTAGGTATTACAGCAAATCCACCAGTTCCTTTGGAATAGGCCATGAAATGCCCATCCACTGATAGCTTTTGACTTGTCAGTTTGACCCTGATTTGAACTGGTGATCTAGCAGTAAAAGGCCTTCTATCAAATTACCATTCCTTGAATCATCCACCTCTCAACGAATCATGTTATTATTCAAACATAAGGGATTTGTTATTTATGAACATAACACGTTTTTCTTCACCTACCCTGCACAGCTTTGGAAAAGCTAATTTGATTTGCTCTTTGATTCTGTTTCCTTCTGTTTATTATCCATCCTGTTGGATGAAATCTGATTGCTCTCCCTTATCCTAAGCCAGCATGTGGAATACTTATTATTATTGTGCCTGGGAGCCCCACTAATGGTCAATACCCCATGCTGTACAGCCATAGAACTAAAAGATGGTTCCTGCCACACACAGCTTACCATCTTATGAGAGATAAAGGACACCCAGGGAAATACAAATCATCAGTCTGACAATATTGGTTAGTATGATACCGTGATCTCAGGACACCTGCATCCTAACCATTGTCATCACATCATTGTCCATTAAATTTACATTAAAAATTGTTGTTAGATTGCAAGATGCACAGATTGAAAACTGTCCTGTTGCAAATTAATGATGGTCCATTTGTATGATGGTCTGCAGTCGATACATAATGAATAACCCCCCACCATAACACAGAAACAGAATGTTGTGCTAGTAAACTGAAAGGTTCACCAGGGCTGAGAGTTATTCTCTAAAGAAGCAGCCCATGTGTTTGTGCACACAGTACACTAAATGCCCTCAGCTGAGTTGAGATAAATGTTTAAGAAGCTATATAATTTAGTGCTTGGAGCACAGAACTAGGAGTTAGGAGACCTGGATTCTGTCGATGGCTCCACATCTGGCTTGCTGGGTTCTCAACCTCTCTGTATCTCGTTGTCCTGATCTCTAAAATGGGAATAATGCCACTTACCTTTTTAAATCCCTTTGATTTCTTCCAATGGAAGGTGCTAGAGAAAGGCAAAGTATTATTATTATATCCAGTCCTTAAAGTCTCATTCACACAAAATTTACACTACCTTCAAGATTTTGTCTGAGTTGTAGGTACCCAGGTAAGCGCTAGATTGTGTATGAATAATTGGTTGCCTGTTTAAATAGATGAGTATACCTCTGGTTTCATCCACTGATATTTGTACCTTCAAGTAGTAGTTTTTTTGTTCTTATCTATAACCCTTTAATGATATCCTTATGCATGTGAGAGAATTCTGTGCCCATGGGGAATCTTTTTACCAATTTGGCTTATTCAGCTCATGAGTCACCTCAGAAAATCCTATTCACTATGTGGACATTCTTGTCCACAGCAACAGTAGGACAGTATTCTGGACCATGGTTGCATAAAGAGGAATGATATGATATTGATTACTCTTATACAAGGAGACTTGGCATGTGTTTAAGCACCGGTCTGGACTTGACATCTTGTGTTTAAATCTTTATTTTTGGATCTCTTCAGAATTATTTCCGGGACACCTGGAACATCTTTGACTTCATCACTGTGATAGGCAGCATCACAGAAATTATCTTGACAGACACCAAGGTGAGCATTTTGACTCTGTGGAATTGTGGTAGCAATTTGAGGTGGGTCTCTTTCCCTGCCTGTCTTTGGGAAGTAGGTTAGGTGTGGCAGTTCTGGCCTTCTTCTGATAGTTTGGTTTTCTCACAGTTGGTAAACACCAGTGGCTTCAACATGAGCTTTCTGAAGCTGTTCCGGGCTGCTCGCCTCATCAAACTGCTCCGCCAGGGCTACACCATCCGTATTCTGCTGTGGACCTTTGTGCAGTCTTTCAAGGTAAAAGGGGTGTGTTGGCTTCTCAGTGGAGAAGTGTGGGACAGTTACTAAACTTGAATTATTCTCATGGCAGTTCTGACCTGATAGGTTGCAGGAAGAATCAGAAATCTTAGTCGGTATCCAAATTTTAGTCAGTTTAGCTGACACAAACTTCTGAACTTTTCGGAATTAGCTTACCTAATTCTAACTCCAGAGGGGCAAAATGGTAAGCCTGCCTCACAGTAGAAGAGAAAGGACTGCTCCACTGCAGAGGGTCCTTGAAGGTCTTTGTGATGCATATGAAAGGTGTCCATTTACAAGCCAGTAACTGGCACACTTTGCCAGCTGTTTAATGGGGGTGCTTGCCGGTGTGCTTTCGCATATGCCAAGTCTTTGTCTGTGCCTTTTATAAAACGGAATGATGAGACACAGTTTGGCTCTAGCTTCTGTAATCACTGAAAAATATTGTGAAGTTCCAGCAGGAAGTGAGGTGCTGACTGGCTTTTTGTACGTCATTGCTGTATCCTCTGGGGGCGGCGGTCAGTACAGTTCACAAACCATTGAAGATAACCAATATTCTGAAGCCTCTATCTGTGCTAAATCAAACTCTTGTGGACTTGTCTTTCAGGCCCTTCCCTACGTTTGTCTCTTGATAGCTATGCTTTTCTTCATATACGCAATCATTGGGATGCAGGTAAGTCAAAATATCTGGATGTATCTCACGTACTGGGATGCTTCTCTCTGGAGTTGACAGAATGAAGAATACTGCACTTCGGCTGCATCTTCGCTTTGGCGGCATCTGCACGAGACGCTGACTGCGCAGTAGCCCATGACAAGTACTAAATGTCGGCACAGTAATAACTGCGCAGTCAGCGTCTCGTGTAGACACGGCCTTTCTCACCTATTTCAGCATTATTGAGTCCAGCATCTGCTTATCAAGTTAGTTCCTGTTTAATAAATCAGGCTGCCCAGAGGTTTGAGGTCTAAGCAGCTTGCTAATGAGGTGCAGCATTTAATATACTCACAGGTTGCCAGTGTGTGTCCTCAGAAATTCACTGATAGAGTATATATCTAGACTCCCTACTCCATGGGTTGGTTAAATCATCATGGTGACATCACCGCAATGATGAAGAACATGTGGATGGAATCCTTCATATGGACTGCATCATCAGACATTCCCATCCGACTCAGCGGGGCAACCCAAAAAGGACAGGTTAGAATGTTCCTTTCAAATCAGATCTCTTTACTTTCTAAGACTTTAGAAATTTCTCAGCTTCTACCATCTGTCACCCACCTGCAAAAGGTAGTTTACACAGAGAGCATGCAAGAGCCTTTTGTGCCTCGGATCCAAACCAACAAACACTCCCCTATGGTCCAATATGCATTTGTGTGTGAAGACCAGGGATCCTGGTTTTCTTTGATTTAAAAAAAAATCCCCAATTTTCAGTTTAAAAAAGTAACCCAAAATCCGTATTTTTCCATGATTAAAATGAAACACCACTAATATATAGATATGTACATAGTGGTGTTTCATTTTATCATGGAAAAATGGGGATCCCTGGGGAAGATTCACAGACATGTTGCTGAAACAATGGTCAGGGGCTGATCCTGCAATTGAAGTCAGCAGGAACTGTAGATGCTCAGCATTTTGCAAAATCAGTTTCTTAGGCCCAGATCTACTAAAGCAGTTAAGCTTGTGAGTGAAAGGGACTAAAATGAGTGGGACTACCTGTGCTTAATGTTAAGCATAAGCTTAAAGTGCTCTCCAGGTTCTGTCTTGTGGTTTTACTTCCTAAGAGCTACATTTTCAGAAGGCATCTTTGGCTATTAATATTCAGGGGTTTATTATTTCATAACTGTAGGCAATGTGTTAACTAATAGAACTGCCTGATGTTCACAGTTGTGAAGTGCTTTTGGGAGGTGGGGGAAATGTGTTCTCGTGAATTCTGGATGACATGGCTACCACCTGCTCTGAAGACGGGGAAAATTTGGCTTCCCTTTCTGATTGGAGATGTGGTTATTTAAGTTGCCTTCCTTCCTTTTTCCTCCAAGCTGAATATCAGTGACCAGTTTTTTGGTCATCCTTCCCTACATTCCCCCATCAGCTCCAGGTCTTTTCTCCTCCCCCAGCTGCCATATGATTCAGCTCCTCCCCCCCCCTCCCCCCCCGCAGTGTGATAGTAGTTGCTTTTTTTCACACCATTGTGAGCAAATCCCCAAGCAGTGGAATCAGTGGGCGTTATTTGAACAAAATAGCTGGAGGCAGAAAATACAATTACATGTTCCAAACCTTTGTGGAAAAAAATACTCCGCAGTTAGCATATTTTTAGGTACACAGAAAGCAGAATAAATATTTAATGATAATAATACAATACTTCCCCTCTTCAAAGTACTTTACTAGCATAAACTAATTAAGCCTGGCAGTATTGCTGGGGTGTAGGTCAGTATTATTGTATGGTCACAGTTTCAGTGTTATAACTATACCTTTGATTGCCCCTGCCCCTCCAACCACCTCCTCGTGGACAGTCCACTTAGGTCTCAGGTACAAATGCTTGCATCCTTTCCCTTTAAGATTAGGGTGTTTGCAAGTCATTGTGATTGTGTCTAGCAGGTTGGATTTTCTGTGGATTTGCTATCTCTTAGGGACAGTGACAGAGAGAAATGTGACCAATCAGCTTTTGCAAAGCAGAGTAGCACTTCTTTTAAGATACAAGCATTACGGAGAAAACACCTGTCTGTACACAAGCTAGAAGAACCAGGTATCCTCCATCACCTGTGTAGGATCCTGGTATGTGCAGACACAAGTTTGTCTGTTTTTTTGTTCCAATCTGTGTCTCTGTACATGTGCCTCTGGCCCAAGAGCAGAGTTCTCTCTTTCAACCCTTCACCTTTGTCTGGTTTTGTGAAACAGAACAAACCAGTATATGCATTTTCTTTGAGGGAACAAGACTCCTCACACTGGCTTACATGCCAGAGGATTAGTGTTAATTATTCCCAAGTGAGCCAACAACAAACATACAAACACTTAAAGCAATGAGACAAAATTATTTCTGATTATACAACATATCCGTAACATCCATCACATCTCCATATAATAGTCTGTGAATTGAAGCATGCTTGCAGTGTCCCACGCCTGGCCAATATATTTATTGTAGGAATGGAGAACCTGAGGCAAAGAGGTTACGTGCTTTGCCTGCTGCAACAGAAGGAAATACTTGTTGGAGTTGGATTTAGACTTCTGGGCCCTAGTCTTGTATTCAGACCTTGCCTTTTTCTCAAGATGCTTATACTGGAAATGTGGTGAACTACACCAGAATTGTCCCAGAAGATATTTTAGATATTTCTACAGCATCCTTTATCACAGAATTAGAGTGTTTCACAATCGTTCATATGTACCAGCGGTGTCATCTTATATTCTCCCTTTATTTATAAAAAGTTCAGCCTCATCGGTTTGGGAGAGTTGTACCAATGGACTGAAGGAGAGAAGGGAATGTTATCTGAGGAGTTATTACCCTTTTTTGAAGGAAGCCTCTTGATAACGTGCAAAGCATTCAACAGCTTTAGTACTCTGCTGTTCTGTAGGAAACAGCTTCTGGTCTGGTACATTTCTCACCAGTAGGACACGTGTGTGTTAAATGTGTGTGTGTGTATGACTCTGTCGGTGTGGATGAGCATCAGTGCCTGCCCCTGGTGACAGCCAGCAGAGCTCCTCTCTGAAGGGCCAGCTCCAGCAGATGAAGTCGCCTTTCTGATGTGCTGGCTATTATGCTCAGACCAGCTGTCTGCGCCATGGGTGCATGGGAGGGAAGGTAACGGTTTCCAGCCCATGCTGAGTTGCTGGCTGTGAAGGTCGGCTTGCTTCCTGGCTTGGCACATCTCATGTGCTGAATTTTCCTTCTTTCCTTCCTTTCTGCTCATAGGTTTTTGGGAATATCAAACTAGATGAAGGAAGCCACATAAACCGGCACAACAACTTCCGCAGCTTCTTGGCCTCCCTCATGCTCCTCTTTAGGTACATGTGTGTCCCTCAAGTTACAAACAGATGTCGCAGTTTGCCCCACCTGTTTTGTCCATGCCACACTGCTGAATTCTGGTCTTGGCTGAGGAGAGTCAGCACTGGCTCGGGCTCTGGGAAGTGAAAGCAGAGATGACAGATCACTTGGCCATGCACTCACCACTGAGGCCTTTGAGCGTTGCATGTACATCTGTGACCTCCCCCCATGCCTCCCTGATCATTCCCTCAGGGCTGCATTCACGCCACCAATTTCCAGCTCATGGATCATGCTGTTGAAGAATATCAACAAAGCCAGTTTTAAAACATGATTAGCTTTCCATTCAAATAGGAATGCTATCTGCAGTCCTGCTAGGTTGAAGGGAGTTGCCAGCACTATCAGGTCACTAGCTTCTCCTATCGTGAAATAATATTATGCAGTTTAGTTTACCAAGAAGATGTCATGTATTGTCTAAAGCAGCTAGCATGCCTGCAGTCCAAAACCTCACAGCATAACTTGGTGGTGTTTTTAATCTTAGAAAGGGGGAGGTGAGTGAGTCCTCAAGAAAGTTACTTGTATGTTGTGGGGCAAAGAGGGGCAGTCATTTGGGCTAGTGCTGACAATGGGTGTGTTCTGGATGCAGGAGTGCCACAGGTGAGGCATGGCAAGAGATTATGCTTTCATGCCTGGAAGGCAAAGGCTGTGAACCCGACACTACAGCGACATCTGGACAGAATGAGAACGAGCGCTGCGGCACTGACCTGGCTTATGTTTACTTTGTCTCCTTCATCTTCTTTTGCTCATTCCTGGTGAGTTTCCTTCCTTGTACCTCACCAATCCTCAGGACTTGTTGTCATAGACTGATTCTGATCAAGGGATGTTTCCAGCTCCACCCTGCCCTCAGCTGCTCCCTGATGATGGGATCCACTGTGTTGATATTTGATTCCATTTATGTGACAGTGAAGTATAGGTAGTACCTAATTTAGCTGCAGCAGCATAGCTAAACAGCCCTTGTTTTAACCCAGCTTCTTGGGCACATTATTACAGTCTGTTCTGAGCTCCATACTGTAGTGGCTAGGTTACTACCTATACCCAAGCCAATTAGTTTAAGAGTAGCATGGATATCTCTGCACTACAGTGCAATTGCAACACCTCAAATATGTAATATGGACAGGCCACTCTTGGAACCAAAGCACATGGACTCCCCTCCCTGATGCTTCTGTCAGACCAAACTGATATAGGCTTTGTAAATTTGCAGATGACACAAATCTTCATATGGTATTAGGCACTTTGGAGGACAGAATTAGGATCCAGAAAGACCTTGATAAATTGAAAAAATGGTTTGAAATCAATCAGTTGAAACTGAGTAAGGACAAGTGCAAAATTATGCACTTAGGATGGAACAATCTCATGTTCAAGTGCAACTGTGGAGTGACTGGCTAGGTTGCAGTACTGCAGAAAAGGACCTAGAATTTATAGTGGAACACAAGCTGAATGCAAGTCCACAGTATAACTAGTATTGCACACAAAAAAAAAGCCAGTAGCATACTGGGCTGTATTATCTATTAACAGGCAGAGGCATAGCAAGCTCATTAAGTGCCTGATGTGGAATGGTGGGGCATTCAGGGGCTGCTGTTGCCATGATAAAGACTGGCACCCCCTCTTAGTTGGCACTCATTTGTTCTACCCTAGCTGAGATACTTTTAATAGGAATGTTGTATGCACATCCTGGGAAGTGATTCTTAGACTCCATTCAGCACTGTTGAGGCCTTACCTGGAGTACTGTGTCCAGTTTTGGGCATTACACTTCTAGAAAGATGTGGACAGATTGGAAAGAGTCCAATGAAGAGCAACAAAAATGATGAGTGATCTGGAAAACATAACTTACAAGGAAAGATTGGTTAATAAGTTTGAAGAAGAGAAGACTGAGGGGGTGGGGGGAGATTTGATACGTCTTCAAATACAGAAAGATTTTTTATAACAGAGATGGTGATAGTCTTCTGTGCATCCTCAGGGAACAGGATGAGAAATAATGGTCTTAAATTTCAGCAAGAGGAATTTAGGTTAGATATTAGGAAGAACTTTCTAACTATGAGGGTAGGTTAGCTATGGAATTAATTACTTAGGTTGTGGAATCTCCATCTTTGGATGTTTTTAAGAGCAGGTTAAATAGACACTTGTCTGGGATGGTTTAGACATGGATGATCCTGCCTACAACAGGGAACCAGACTAGATGGCCTTGCGAGGCCCCTTTCAGCCTCACTGTTCTGTTTTAAGTGTACCGTGAATAACACCATTCTGTTTTAACACAGCATAAACAGAATCAAATTATTTCTGTTTGAAAATACAAGTACTGATTTATGAGAAAATTGGTACTATAGCATAGGATCCCACCATGCAGTTCAAGGAGAGCACTATGCAGGGGGAGGAAGGGAACAGACTCAAGACTGCTATACTCTTTATTTACAGATTCCATTTTCTTCTCTCTTCCATTTACCGCCCTTCTCTCCCTCTTTCACATGTACCATCTTCCTCTTGTCTTTCCCCTTCTCCATTCCTTTTCCCCCATCTCCTTCCTTTCCACTTAGATGCTCAATCTGTTTGTGGCGGTCATAATGGACAATTTTGAATACCTGACTCGGGATTCCTCCATCCTGGGGCCTCATCACCTAGACGAATTTGTCCGGATCTGGGCGGAGTATGACAGAGCCGCATGGTATGTTGCTAAGCTCCCCTGCCTCTTCCTGATCTCTCAGAGGCCTTGTTTTTGGAACCCATTTGGCTGTAATATCTGGGACAGTCAGGAAAGGCTATTGGAGTTGCTTACTCACACAGCTGTGGCAGGAAAAAGCAGAGCGCTCCTGGGATGCCCAATGGTACAGAGCCATGCTGGAGTGCATGGTCAGCCTTATCGCTCCATGGGCACCCTGCTTCTATGGTAGCTGGTAACTGGTGAATGTCCAAAGGTTTTGTGGTTCCATTCTGATAAGCATGTGATGCAATGTTTATCCAAACCTTTGGCAACTCCTGCCACGTTTCTCTCCAAAGCTCCTTTGGCAGCTTGCCAGCCTGCTCTGTCTTCTCACACCATCATCCACTGACTTTTGGCTCTTGATCTTCCTCCTTCCCTATTTTCTTCTGTCATTCAGATTTCCATGCCCTCAAAACAGCCTTCAAGGACCTCTATGTTCCCTAGTCCTTGCATGCAGCGTGTACTATAAATGCAAAATTGCCATTCACATGGGTGAGAGAGCCTGGCAGGTAGGCTGTTGTCGCAGCTGGGCTCCTGCTAACTTATCAAATAAACGTTTAGAAAAATCTGATTTGATGATGTGGTTTGGGTAGAGGTTTGTCTGAGGATTGGACCAACTTTTGTTCTGGCCAGTACATATCACCCTTCCCTCTCGAGGCAACAGAAGGCTTTTGGCTCTCGCAGTCCTCTGATGACTCTTTCAAAAACAGCTTCCATTTTGGGCAAGTAGTTCTGTTCCTGCCAGCCAATGGGAGAAGGCAGGATGTAGAATGGTCTCTCCTGGCTCTGCTCCCACAGAGCAATGGCAGTGTAAAGGTTCAGGAAAGCTGTTCTCAGCCTGCACCCTGAAGGTCACCAGGGCATTTCTGGGACAGCTAATTTAGCTCTACTCCTCAGCTATATTGGGAACATATTAGGGCTGCCTTTCAAGCTCCAAGCTCATGGGCTTCAGGAATACTATCAATGTCCTCTATGCAGCCTGAATATACATTGGCACCCTTTGCATTTTGGGCAGGCCCCACTTAGTCCCACATCCCATCAGCGTTGGGGCACCATCTGGGCTGTCTGTTTCTCAGCACTGTCTTCTGTCAGGTTTGGCTCAATTCCTTGAGCGGCATCTTTGCAACCATATTACACTAGTCACTGTACCAGGAACCAGGAATGATGTCAGCTCTGGAAGTCTTGACAGTTGGAAACTCACCAACTAGAATCAATCCACTGTTCAAACCTAATTTATTGCTTCCCAAGAGCTAACTTTTAAATTGGTTCTACTATCACGCATTCCTGGACTGCTCCATTTCAACACTTTTTCCAGTTGAGTTCAGCCTTACGGTCTTACATTAAGATGACTGCACGTTCTTCCTGGGACTGCTTCAGGGTTACAGCATCAAAAGCCTTGAAGGTAATGCCAATCCTGCAGTAAACAGAGTGGTTGTCTTATCAGATGCACGTGCCTGGTAGAACGTTAAGACTTCAGCCCTTGTTACTGTAGGTCAGCTGTAGAGAGAGGAAGCTGTAATAAGGGAGAGGAGGCTTAGAAGGTCCAAGCAGCAAAGGTTAGGATGCTGAATTTTTCGCCATGAAGTGTTAGGAAGTGGACCTCTTGATCTCAGCCATTTTTTTTTTTTTTATCCTAGCTCTCTCTGCATTTGAAAGTTGGTTGCTACCAAGTATTCCTGAGTCTAGGAAAAAAAAAAGAACCTATTGTAGAACCCCACTGCCTATACTTTGCAAATATGGTACAGTGCCAACTCTCATGCAGGTCTCATTGAACTGAGTATCTGTGCTGTTTTTCATGAGCCAGCTAGTATGGAAAATTGAAGGAAAGAAGCAAGCTCTTTTGAGGCTAATCCTGAAATCAGGATACTTGGATTCTGCACCAAAGAATCTCGTGGCAGCTCAAATACCCATCTGTGATTGGGGAAGAGTGACACGGGATCAAAAGGCCTAGTCACCGGAATGGAGATAGAGTTCTAAGTTCTGACTGAAAGATGTTGCCAAAGGCCCTCAGTTCCGTTAAACAAGGAACCTGTAAGGACATCATGCACATTTCCTGGTTCAGATACCTGGCCTCTGTTGTGAATGATTTTGCCTAGACAAGTTCTAACCAATGATGGAAAACTACACCAAGGATGGGAAGAAAAGGAGGCGAAACAAGAAGCAAATGTCCCAGGCAGTATTAAGATGGCATATTGCACATCCTTAAATATATCTTTATGGCAGCTTTCTTCCATGACTTTCCCAATAATGGGCAGGGGGCCTACAGTTTCCTGTGCCTCAATCCTGCTCAGCAAACTTCCATTTTCTGAAAGTCTTTGATCTGGAACTGGGTAGGAGGAACTCAGTATCTGACTGCACCTGCCCAGTAGGTCCTTCTGCTCTACTCAGCTGTTTAGATATTTATGCTAATCTAATAAAGATTTGGGCTGCATCCCAAAATTAATGCATTTGTTTTTGGGGGACCCTCAATTCTCTGGCTTTATCAGCTTGCAGTAAAGTGTGCCCTTGGCATAGCACAACCTGGTGGTCAGAGTATGGGACTGAAAATAAGAGACCCGAGTTCTGATCCCATCCCTACCACTGACCAGCTGTCTGGCCTTGGACAAGTCACTTCACTGCTTCCTGCCTCTGATTCCCCAGACACTGGAGATAAGAGTGACTTAGCTACTAACCTCCTTGGGATGTAATAAAGATTAACTAAATAATTTTTTGAATGAACTGACTCTATAGGGCCAAATTCGCTAATGGTGTAATCAGGCTCAATTCTGCAAAAGTGCTAAATACTTTCAGAACTCAAACCAGTCCTTGTGTACTAATATACTGGCCCATTTCCAATCTCTCTGACCAGCTATGGGCTTGCTAAAATGGCCTTATTGGTCAATGGAATGGGATGCTGGGTGCCCGGGCTGGTGCACTGTTAGTACCAAAACTTTCCAGTGGGATATCCCCAAAGTGGGTAAGAGTGATGGAAGCTAAACTACATGGAATGAAGAAGGTGGTAGCTGTGCTTAAATGGAAGTGACTTTTCACAGCTCTCTTCAGTCTGGGCCTGATGGATTCAAGCAGAGAGAGACATGGACCTCTGGGTTCTTGGCCTGAAGAGAGTCCCTCACCCCCACTTAAGCACTCGTTTCCTCTTCTTCATTCTCTCGGTGTCCTATTAACCCACCTGTGCTTCCTTTACAGCGGCAGGATCTCGTATAAGGATATGTACAAATTAGTACGGGTGATCTCGCCGCCTCTGGGCCTGGGAGAGAACTGCCCCTACAGGGTGGCGTGCAAGGTTTGCCTCCCAGTCCCCAGCCACAACCTGGCAACGGGACGCACCATTAACCTTTCCTTTCCCCCCTCCTCTGCTCCACTACCACTGCGCCTTACAAGGGAACCCTTACGTTGCTTTCCTTTGAGTTTAAAGAGGTTCAAACCCTCCCAGAAGCAGCAGTTGTTACATCAGGGAAGGGTGGGGTAGGGGGTCTGACTCAGAGACCAATCAAGGCAGATTCAAAGGAATTGGTCCCTTGCCCTTCTCCATAATACAGAGAACCCTGGAGCTTCTAAATCGCTTGTGCTATGTGTGAGCCTTGCTCATGACACAGAGAGGGTCCCCGCTGAATAACATTGGTTTCCAGAATCTAAGAACCATCCCAGTGGCTCTTTTTCCTTTGATGAATGGACAGTGACTATTATTAACAACTGGAAGATGAAAATGTCAGGAGGACATTTGGGAAGTGTAGCAGGGTAGCTAGCAGGGCTGGACACCATTCCAGCCCACCTCCATGTCTGGACAGTCTGCCCATCTACACTCGCCTGCCACACTTTGATGTAATCAATAAGTTGTTTGTTTTGAAAGCAGGAGACTGCCCATTTTAAAGCCTGATGCCAAGGGCATATTATACAGCTCCGTACCAACCCTACACTGTGTCCCATGGCTTGCAGATGGCATTCAAATTTTCTACTACTCCCCTGGCTCCTTGCTGGGCTGCTCTGGCCTAAACTAGGCCTCAGGCATCTTCGGACATGCCTGGGCCTTTAATTCATACCTGTGGCTTTAACTCTTGTCCCTCACTGGGGCCCTGTTTTACCAGTCAGCTTCTGTGCAGCCCTTTGGACCATCTTCTGGCCCTATTCTACCCTGCTGCTAGGAGTGGCTAGCCTAGTCAGCATCTTGTGCAGCCCTTTAGACAATCTTAGGCCCTACTCTATGCTGCTGCTGGCTGCCAGTACTGGACATCTTATGTGCAGCCCTTCAGACCCTACTCTATACCACCGCCGGGTCCTTATAACTCTACCCTGCCCCCCTACTGGGGCCTCAGGTGTCTGATGACTTACCTGGGCCCCCCTAACTCAGCCTATGGCTGTGCAGGCCTCAGGCATCTGTCAACATATGTGGACCCTTTGGGACATGACACCCCTTGGGCCTCAGGCACCTGTTGACTTACCTGTACTCTGGTTCAGGCCCCACTCAGTGGGCCTGGGCCTGTGTGCTTTTCTGTCAGGGTGTGCTCCCCTAGCCTTTCCCCTCCACAGGGTAACCCACAAGGAAGCAGGGGCTGAGGTTTTCAGGCACCCTATACTCACCCTTCGCTGGGGAGGGACAGGTATGGCATTTCCTGGAAGCTACCTGGCCAGAAGCAGCCTTACCACACCATCCAACCCCAGCAGGGTGCAGTTTTAGGTCATGCTCCAGGACCAGGAACCTCCTGCCATCCCCATAGTTCCTACCTTGTCCTCCGGGTGTTCCTGGGCAGCAGTTCCAGTCAGGCAATGTTCTGCCTCTGGCTGCTTGCAGCAACTGCTGCTGGCTTTACTGCTCAAACCTGCCCTTACTGAAAGCAACTGAGCCCTCTTCCCCAATCAGGCAGTCTCCTGGTGCCCATGTGACTCCTGATTGGGGAGTACCACCACCTGCAGACTGCCTCTGCTGCATACTCAGCACCTTTGAGTGGCAGGCCCCACAGGGCCTG